AGATAGTTTAACGAGTTTAAACTGTGGAAATAACCAATTTTGTCGTCTGATCAACTCCTGGCAAGTCACAGGCTATAATCCGCCATAAAGGCCGATTTTAAGCAATTTTTGCCAAATTTGGCAACATCTTGGTGACAATTTTTTTATGAAATGGTCAAATTCGGATTCAGCGCCAAAAATTACATAGGAAACCATGGAATTAATGCTACCCGGTGTTTTTGGAGGCTAAAATTTCTATCCGCCCGGACTCAAAAAGCGTCGTCGCTCCATAAAGCTGTTCACAAAAATGATGATATCTCGCGAACCAAAAGTTTCCCAGCGAGCTATAATATATCGATGGATGCGGAATCGAACGAACTATCGATTAGACAGTTTTTTATTCAAATTTGAAGATAGCTTTTTTGGGTATTTGCGGATATGTAACATTTGTCGAATTTAAAAATCGGAAATTTGGCAATAATGCATGTTAAAATTAATGCGACATTAAAAACATGGTCATTTCCTAAAAGTGCGTAATTTTTAGAGAATTTTCGTTAAAACCGCAACTTCATAGCTCAATTTTAATGCCACTTACGGAATTTGCCTGTTTTCAACTTGGCAACGCTGTAGCGCGCGGGAAAAATTTCGGGTGAACTTGCCAATGCCGGAATAAGGCGTGTCTTGTGATAGGGAACAACATATCCAACTCCGGGCAAAATCCAAGCGTAGGGTAAAATCGCCGATTTTGAATAACCCTCTTTGCAAATTTTCAAAAGGAGTTGTAAGACCCTTTTGATCGAAAAGTGCATGTACTCTACAGATGATTTCTAATGTTTTAATTATATTCTATTATAGTGCGATCGTAATGAATTTGGCTGATTCTGATTACTATATAACTAAATATTTGACACTATTTCACGTTTCAATTCATGTTGAAATTATAAATAAAGAGATTATTCTTATTATTATTGTTAGCTGACTGCACAATCTCTATCTTGCGGGCAAATGCTACTCAAAGAATCAATGCACAGGGGATTGCATTCCTTCCAGACTTAAGTATGAAACATGCGTGGTATGAAGGAGAAAATCCCAGACCTTCTTGAAAAATTTCTGCACTTTTCCAGTCCTTCCGGACCACTTTTATAAAAGCAGTCCTATTTCTGGACTAGTAGACACCCTGTACTCGGAGGTTGACGGCACTGGCTAAAGTTGTTAAGCCGACATGCTACTTGCGAAATTTCTTCCCGGATATTCTAGATCGCCGGAGGCCCTTTGATGGCTAAATTCTGAAAATCATAATGCCCTATGAAAAGTTGCAGATTTCCTGCCATCCTTTAGGTTTCAATGGATGAACTAATTGATGCAAATTATAGAAAGTTGTTTTTTCTTATTTTTTTATTTTGCTAAAAGAATATTTTGTGAAAATTTTTAGCAGAGAAACTGATTTGTTTCATTTAGTAGAACAATATATTAAAGCTGAACTTTTGAGACATTACGATCCAGGTGGCTCCATACTATTGGTAGCAAAGCAATAGGTTCTCAGAGGAACAGCCAAACATGTGTTAACCCCAAAAATGTGGCGACGCACCCTTCTGTCCAACTTCCAATTTGAAATATATGATGGTTCTAAAATTATCATAATTCATGACTGAGCAGTGCTTTCCAGTAAAAATTAATTTTAATGCATGAAATCAGAAAGAAAGTGGTGAAGTAAAGAGTAAAGTTCGTCGTCAAAATGACGAAAAGCCCACATTTTTGGACTAAAATCCTTCTAAAACCAATGTTAATTGTGAAAATAGTTTGCTGCAAATATTAGCATTGAACGCTGCCAGGTAACTCCGTTCAGAGAATATTAGGGACAAGCTTGTTAAAAGACCTTCGGAAGAAGAAAATAAATAAATACCTATGATAAAAAATAAAAAGTGGCGACAAAACTTTTGGCCCAATAGCTGAAAACAACCTATGAATTATATACGTCATAAGACACGAGTCAGGCATACTTTCAACTCAGAAAAAGCTCAAGTTTTCGAGGATAATGGAAACAGTGAGTCAGAAAATGTGTAATGCAAGCTCCATCTGATCTCTATTTGATTTGTTTTAACAGAAATTGATGTTTTTTTATCATTCATGTTCTCTTTGACCGTTTTTCCTTTAAAAGATACTCTTTTAATAATTCGCTGGAAAATTTGGCTCTTAAAAATCAAAGTTTTTGATCTTAAGAATCGACCTTACACAAATCATGTGGAAGTCCAGTCATGTCCAGTTTACTGCTGGTAGCTGCATCATGTAACTTGTTACAAATGCCACAGTTGTCAAGAACTTTTTTTATATAACTTTATTTGAGTAATATTCTACAGTTTTAATTTCTTCAGGGTACTTTTGAAGATATTGAGCAGCTAAATAACTCAAAGATTTCCGAGAGTCATAAGAAAACCACTTATGTTCAGCATCCTTTGCATTTAACTAGTCCCTTCTGGGCAGAAGAGGAACTAGAGACATTTCAGAATCCTGTTTCACCATTAACTCCTGAAATAATTAACTTCTGAACATTTTTGAGTCCCACAATAGAGGGCTTACTTCTACAGTTTTTTTTAAGGTTTTCTCAAAATGAAAAAAAAAGAGTTTTAAAGAATTATGGAAATTAGCAGTTTCCGCACAGCACAATTCACTTCTGCTGTGCTTGAATTGTATCCTATGATTTAAGTTCTGGTGAACTAAGAAATTAGATGGATAGTCCATTGACTACGACCCAAAAATGGCAAAAACCCTGCACTTTTTGATTGGAATATACCGCTTTCAGGGCTCATTGGTGGTACCCTCAGGAGTAATTCTGGAAAGGGCAACACTCTGAGACCCGCGACTGGAGCAAGATGGCGTCCGTTAAAGTCCACCATTTTGGTTTTTTTCAAAGCGCTGTCCCTCGGTTGCTGTTGATCCGATTTTAATCAACTTTTTTTTAAAAGAAAGGCAATTTCTAGGAGAAAAATTTTATTCCTCATCACTTTTCCTGTCAGACTTATATCTTTCATTCAAATTAGGCGGAACTGAAAATGTTCCAATTTTCGGAAACTTTGAGGTCAAATAACTTTCAAACAGGCGAGGAAATGAATATTTGGTCTTCTCTGAAGGAGCTGTAGAATTGTCTGGCGTTTAATTTGATACCAATACCATTTCTGTGCGATAATAAATAAACTCGTGAGACCAATTTAAGTGATGCGCGCGGGACCCGTTTCAGCGCCCTGGACGGCCGACTCAACCCTTCAATGGGCTGTATTTCGGTTGCTGTGCTGTCGATTTTGATCAAATTTTTTTTTGTAAGTAGATGTACTCGAGAAGAATCAGCTCATTAATTATTATTGGCGCTAACTTGATAATTTTTCAAAATTTTCAAGAAAATCAAAAATTTTCAAATTTAAAAAAAATTTGTCGGTTGAATATGTGATGCGGGCGATTTAAAATGGGTGTTTTGTCATCAAATGTAAACGAAGAATTATTTGAGGTTTAATTTGATACCAAAACCAATTTACAGCGATGAAAAATAAACCCACGAGTGTAATTTCAGTACACTACCTACTGGAGCGCAAGGAACCCCTCCGCTCCTCCGCTGATAACTTACTGCGGCCGGCGCGGCGCGGCGCCGCAATGCCTCTCTTCGCGAATCAAATATGGAAGGTATGTATGGTATGTATGCAATGTTGATAACAGCGACACGCTCTTTTTCAAGATTAGAAAAGTTTTGTTTACAAATTCCTGCATGATCTAGTGATCGATGCTGTTCATTTGCGTCGGAAAAAGTAAGGTCATATCAGGCGGAATAATTCACAGATCTCCTCGCGGTAAAGAAAGCTTCGTAGACGAATGGATTCTTTAGGTGTGACTAAACAGTCTTAAATAAAGTAAACTGTTTAATATTCAATATTTTTTAGTTTCGCGTACGTACTTTTGCTGTTTTTATAACCACAGTGTCCCTTCCATAATTCGAAATCATCCCACCGCAATAAATGCGAACGAGCGGCCGTTTTGGAACAGAGGATTCTTAATGAATGTGAGTTTAAATTTATTTCCTATTTTGTGATGTGCTCTCATCAATTTGGTCAAACGCTTAATGTTGATAACACCGCTTTACAAAGTTGTTTTAACAATACGTATTTCAGAATTTTTTTAAAGTTCTTACATTCTGTTACCTTTGGGAGCGTTCATAAATTCCATTACTCACTTTTTTGGCATTATCGACTTCCTTCCTCCGCATGTAAGTGTGAGCAAAGCAACTTTACAAGCCTACTATATTGTAGTGAAGCCAACGATATGCCGATAAACCATGTGCAGAAGCATCTTTTTGTAAGTAAAATGCGAGCCCTCCAAAATTTGCCTCCAACAAAGGAGGCACTTCATCAGCATTGCCTCCGCGCATCTTATCAAGCAGGACAAATTTGGGGGCGTGCTTTTGCTCCAGATGATATCATTCCTGCTGGGGATGGAGAAGAGTAAAAGGAATGTGGAAACCAAAATGGTCAACTTTACCTTCAATCTGGGATGCATGTCGAGAGCTGGTGAAGTGCTCCTGTACAGCTGGCTGCAAAAATAGATGATCCTGTCGGAAATCTCGTGTTCCTTGCACGCTTCTCTGTGCAAAGTGTGCACATGGGGAAGGAGTTAAATGTTTGAATGAATTCAACAAAAGGTGATTAAGTTTAATATATTTTTCAAACGTAAAATTCAAAGTTGGACTTTCTTGCATTAATAGGAAACTCCAGTGATTTAGAATACTTAAAATTTAGTTGATACAATCCAACAGCCCCCCCCCCCCCCCCCCCCCCCCCCCCCCCCCCCCCCCNGCCAGGTGATTACAAAGTATCATAACAGAGACAGAAAGGGATGGGGGAGAGGGGGAGAGAAGAACAGAAGTGGAGAGAAAATTCCAAAAATATTCTTCCTTTAGCCAAAAATACAATGATTTTGCTTTCAGGTGTCTTCCTTTCTTTTTCTAATTCTACTTTAATGGAAAGAATGAAACGAACAGATACCAGTTACAAGCTTCCTTTACTTAGCGAAAAAAGAAATGCAAAATTTTATTTATTCACTTCTTTGCATATATTCCAGTGTAATGTTGATGGACATAGCACTATTCTTATTTCTTTCGATTTAGGTATTCGTTTACTTTAGGGGGGGGGGGGTTACATTGAATAGGATTCGAAAGATTAAGCATGAACTCCCTCAATTTAATGAGTATTTTTTTTTCTTTTTTCCTTGTTCACAGAATGGATAGTGAGAATGTTGATGAAGAGGCTCCATATCTTCCGGTAGTCCCAGAAAGTGAAGAATAACGTGCAATTAAAACTTAGATCTCCCTTTGAATTTGCCTTTTAATTCACATCTTAATGTGATATTCCATGCTCTACTTTTTTAGATAGTAGGCTTATCAACGCATGGAACGCAAGACCCTTCATGTATTTTCTTCCGCTTTTATTTTTTTAGAAAAAACGTCCAGTCTATATGCATGTGATCATTTCTTTTTGATCTATTATGAATTATCGTGTTTTGTTTTTATTTAGTATTATACATTCCTAAAAAGGAGTTTTTCTGTCCAAAACCATAGAATTAAATTATATGTCTTTTAATGTTGATTTCTTCCAAGTTTTCCAAAGATCGATCAAGAAAATAGTTTAAGCTGCAAATTATTCTAGAGTATTGCTATGAACTCTGTGTTTGAAGTAAAATTCCTATCGCAATTTAATGTTCTTTTCTTCACACTGGAATGACGGTGGTATAAAATACATCTTATTATAATAAAAAATATGTTTTCCTATTCAACTCTACAACGCTATGATTCCACAGAAATTTTTTAAACCTTCGTAAAAAGTAGTTATTTAAACGGAATATGTGGCAACCGAAGTACAGTGCATACAAAAACTGTGAAGGGCTTCAACAACCCCACACGGGTCACGCGCCGTAAGACGCGCAACCCTGCGTTCCACTTAAATCACTCAGGCAGGTTTATTTTTCATCGCACAAAATTGGTTATGGTATCAAATTAAACCTCAAATAATTCTACGTTTACATTAGATGACAAAGACCCATTTTAAATCTCCCGCATCACATATTCAACCGACAAATTTTTTTTAAATTTGAAAATTTTGAAAAATTATCAAGTTAGTGCCAATAATAATTAATGAGCTGATTCTTCTCGAGTACATCTACTTACAAAAAAAAATTTGATCAAAATCGACAGCACAGCAACCGAAATACAGCCCATTGAAGGGTTGAGTCGGCCGTCCAGGGCGCTGAAACGGGTCCCGCGCCGCGCACCCGCGCGCATCACTTAAATTGGTCTCACGAGTTTATTTATTATCGCACAGAAATGGTATTGGTATCAAATTAAACGCCAGACAATTCTACAGCTCCTTCAGAGAAGACCAAATATTCATTTCCTCGCCTGTTTGAAAGTTATTTGACCTCAAAGTTTCCGAAAATTGGAACATTTTCAGTTCCGCCTAATTTGAATAAAAGATATAAGTCTGACAGGAAAAGTGATGAGGAATAAAATTTTTAAAAAAACCAAAATGGCGGACTTTAACAGACGCCATCTTGCTCCAGTCGCGGGTCTCAGAGTGTTGCCCTTTCTAGAATTACTCCTGAGGGTACCACCAATGAGCCCTGAAAGCGGCATATTCCAATCGGACAGCGCAGGGTTTTTTGGCGTAGTCAACGGACTAGGACTCATTAGAAGACCATGTGAGTAGTATCTCAATGGAGTTCTTGCATGTGTCAGAGATCGGCAGTGATAAAAAAGAAGGAATTCAAGGTTGCAAAGAGATCAAAGAAATTCCATTTCTCGCTCTATTCCTACAAACTTTAGTTGCTCAGTTGGACCATATCTGAAAAAAGAAGAAAAACAAAAACAAATAAATGAAACAATTACATGAAAGGATTAGGGTGAATTTCAACTTTAAGAAACGAAGTCATCTCAAACTATGAACACCACGTTCGCAAGAGTGAATGGATGTTTTAAGAGTCAACGCAAAAAATACATTGAAGAATTGAACTTTGATATGCATTGTCTCCTGACAAAGACAACAGAACTAAGAGTTAAGTTCATACGTTACACAAGAATTTATAAGGTATTTCAATAAACAGTGTTATCATGAGAGTCTGATGTTCTCAGGAGGATGGCGGGGACCTAAAGTAAATAACTGCCTAAGAACCCTGCAACACTAGGGGGAGATTAGTCGTTTTCCATGCATTGTGATGAAGTAGGTTAACAGGTTAGTATGAAGATCAGCATTAGCACAAAGCTGGAAAATTAAACAATTTGTTCGGGTAGGTGCCAAAATGTTCGCGGTTTGAACATTTGCCAGGAACACGGATACGTTCCAAGTCAGTCTAGGCCACCCTGCTCTCCTTAGCAGTGCTTCCAGAGGAGAACATCTTCTTTGCTCTTTAGAGTGTGACGAAGACAACGTTTTTATTCTTCCTACATTCAAAAGCTAACTTTCTTTCACCATTTTTATTTTTTTGTCTTCTAATTAGTTAGCATGTGTTCGCAGTCCTTCACTTGAAAAACCTTTTGAGGTATCCTCTCCCACCCCCACCAAAAGTTATTTTCATTTCTTCCAACTTTCTTCTCAGTAAGATAACACTGTGCAATCAAAACGAGGGTAAAAAAGTCTCTGAGTCGAAAGAAAAAGGTTGATGTGTATTATGACGAGTTGAGTTCGTAAAAGACCTCTGTTTTCATGGTGGCCTTCCAGCTTTCCAGGTAAGCCAATGTCCATCAGAAAATAGACTTTTCAGTTTTTTCGATGTTTTCGTGAAAAGTTTTCCATTCAGAGTGCAAAAAAGTTTGTTAGGAACACATAGGTGTGACCTTAACATCAAACGTCAAATTGAACTAGGTGATCAAAGACCGTAATCTTCAGGGGGAGGAAAGCCATTAGAATGATGTATATATAGTATTTTAATGGGACCAGACTATATCTTCAATTAACAAAAAAAAGAATATATAGCTCCATCATCAAAAGTATATTGGTTTATGGAAGCAAGGTGCAGCAGTTAAAAAGCGGTCCCAGGACATTCTTTATGCAACCAAGATGGACTTCTGGCGTAAAATAGCTTAAGTGTCAGGGAAAGATGTCATTCGGGAAGAAGCAATACAATTATGGGCGTCGTGAAAAACATAGTGCATGAAATTTTCATGAAAAAACTTGTCTGGTATGGTCATATGCAAAAGATGCCGGATGATAAGGTCTCCTTAGACGGTTCTGGACTGGGTCCTTCTAGCAGGAAACGTAGAGGACGCCCTGCCAAATCGTAGATTGATGGTATAAGGCAAGAAATAAGGAAATGTGGTTTGTCGGAGGAGCTGTGGCAGAATCACTACCAGTAGCAGTTGAATGTCACAGAGCACGGGGGAGCACTATGAAAGCCGCATGTTATCCTCCAACAAGTTTACTTGCATCTGGCAGGAAAATAAGAGGACACTTCCTTTATCCTTTGATCTTCGGGAGCCCTACCACAATAGGCTCATTAGGCTTCTTCCAAAAAAGCACGTGCTTCTGGGTAGAAATGACTATGCGGCCTTATTTCATAGGAGTTACACAATTTTGACATGTGCTCCAAAGAGTCAATGTTGAGATCATGCCTAACATTCACATTCCTCTCAAATCATCGCGTTTTTGCATCTTTTGAAAAACTTCTGTAGCAGGACAGCACTCCTAACCACTGGATTATCTCAGTGCTGCAGATTGCCGAGCATTACACGAACACTTCAGCAAGGGATTCTCTTCGTAAATTTTTTTAAATCAGTATCCAATAATTTTGTATTAAGAAATGTTTGGTCACACTGCGATCAATATCTGGATGAAACAGAATGTGGCCTCACTTTGTGAACAACTTGTTGGAATAGATTGTTTAAAGTAAAAAAAAAATATCAAATTACTTATAGTTGAAATCATGTTTATATGAGCACGTATTTAATTATATTTAAATTAGGTAACTGGATAAATTACGCAGAAGAGGTTTAGACTTTTGACTCCCATTGAAAAAAAATTGAAAGCATCTAAGAGGCTGCCTATTTTTTTCATTGGGCCATGAAGATTTTCAAAAAAAAGAAAAGTAAAACTGACCTGTAATCAAAGAATAATTCCTCTCCGGAATGAATCGCTCGCTTTGCAAAGATACCGATTCTATGATCCCCATTCACCATCATCACTTTAGCATAACAGTTTGGATTGATAGAGTGGTTTGCAAATCGAATTTTATTTCCTTTGCGGGTGGCATCAACAACGAAATCTACAAGGGAATAGATTAATAAGAGTACCGTAACTTTTGCAGCAAGTAGCACTAATATGGAAAAACTTGCTTGGATAACCACAATATTATATATACAGTGCATGAATTTGCCTTCAGCTGAGTATAGTTAATACTCAATGCAGGTATGTAATAGAGTAGAGCACTCAGTTTTCACAAATGTCTCATTTGGTCGTTCAGTACCTGAAGTAAATTATGAAGGTGCCTAGAAATCTTTCCATGATTCCAGTGACAAAGTTTCTGAAATTTTATCATTTCTTAAATACTTAAGTTTCATTCCTATAAGTCTCGGTAACACAGTTAAAAACAGACAGAATAGCAGACTTTTTTGGCAGGTCAGTCGCGTGGTTGACGACCGAAATTAACTGAGACATCATCATATATGTAAACTCCGAGACCTTCTGAATTTGCACATCTGGTCACGCTTGGTTCCAGCGTTCTACCCGGCCGATTTTCTTGATTTTTGCGGCTATCGACAGGCAATTGTATCTTGATGAGCCCGCTTTATTCAGATTTTGAAAATATGACCCAGCTTTCTTTGAATTAGGCGGTAAAGTTGCAAATTTTCCCATTTAAACAATGTAAATTTATATTTTTTGTCATAGTTCGTTTGAGCTTTCTACAGGGCCAATCTCCATAATTTTTACGGCTAACGACAGGTGATAGGCCCTAGATGAGCCTGCTGTAATCAGATTTTGGAAATATGTCCAACATTTTTTTATAATAGAGTACACCTGGCAGCTTAGAAAGGGGGCAAAATTTGAAATTACCGCAATTTTTCATTGACAGGAATTTCAAATTTTCCGGAAAATTGAACTAAGCGGGAAATTGTGAGTCTTCATCTGTCAGTACAGTAAGGTAAGTGAATTGAAGGTGTGCTCCTTTACTACAGACTATCCAAAAGTAACAAAACGTTTGGTTTCGTTGGTTCTGTTTCGTTTCACAAGGGGAGGCTACCGATTGTCCCCCTCAGATCGGGTTCAAATTTGGCAGAAAGGTAGAATAGGTTAATATAAGAAACCGTATTTTTTTTTAGGTGCCAATGCCCAGCCGTTTTTGAGTTATGAATTTTTGAAGTTGCCGTTTTTGCGTGTCAGCGACGCGCTCAAGTTGAGCCTACTGTGCGCGCACCTTTTAATGTGATCCGAGATGTACGATCGTCAAACACGTCCACCGGCCAAGCGGTAGCGTGTTCGCTCACGGCGCAAGGGATCCGGAGTTCGATTCTTGATCCGAAAATTAATTTTTACAATTGATTATTTTGTTTTTTAATTGCTTCATCACAACAAATTGTAAGTCACTTTGTAAAAGCTAGGATGTGAATAATATTTTTTCCCCCTTTTTTCTCAAGAAATCATTAAAAAAAAATTTTAAAAAATACATAAAAAATAATTAGAATCATAACGTTTACAAGGTGATTTATAATTTTATGTGTTGAAACGATGAAAAAACAACATAATCAATAGTAAAAATCAGATCTTCCGATCAAGAATCGAACTCCGGACCCCTGGCGCCGTGAGTGAGCACGCTACCGTATGGCCAATGGACGGATGTGACGTTTTCAAATCTCGGATCACATTAAAAGGTGCGCGCACAGTAGGCTCAACTTGAGCGCGTCGCTGACACGCAAAAACGGAAACTTCAAAAATTCATAACTCAAAAAAGGCTGGGCATTGGCACCTAAAAAAAAATAGGGTTTCTTATATTAACCTATTCTACCTCTCTGCCAAATTTAAACCCGATCTGAGGGGGACAATCGGTAGCCTCCCCTTGTCAGTCTAGGCCTGAAGTTAAAAATAAATGACAGTTTTCTTATCTGAATCTTATTGGTCTAATTGCTCTCGGCCAGAGGGAGATTGGACAAATAAGAGTCGGGTATGAAAATCTTTTAATTTTTTTTGGTCGTTCTTTTGCCAAAGCGGGCCTAAGAGAGGGCGAAGCGCCCTCCGGGGGTTGGGCCGCGTAGCGACCACAGGGCATAGCCCCCTAGTAGCTTACTAATGAGAGAAAATATGAAATTAGAGGTGTACAAAGAGTAACTAAACTTATTACAAACCATTATTAAGATTGAAAAGAAAACTGCACATGTACTTGTCATAAACTTTCCCTCTTCTGTCAGCTTCATCTTGAGTAATAATTTCACCGCAATACTCAGAGATGAATTCATTCTTTTGCGCAGACTCTCTGAGAAAGATTCCCCAGCCCGCAACATCTGATGGAGCCATGAGCAAATGTTTGTCTGAAAGATAAAAAAAGTCATCAGGCACACACTGAAAGAAAGAATTAAATATAACTGGAAGATTATTTTACAATAGGTAATCCTTGGTCAGGGCAATTTGATTGTTATAATTTTGTACTAGAATTTTGCTCTGACATGACCAGAGATTTTGGGTTGCCTTGATTTTGCTCAGTTCCACTAGATGGAGTATACCTACTGGATGCTTTGACAAGAGAAGACCGAAAAGAAACCGATTGGTCTTTGCCTTTGCCGCCGGTCTCACAGTATTAACTTCTTATTTCATGGGGATCTCAAGGTTCTCTTGGTCACGCACTTTACATGGTTATCCAGAAATCACTTACCAGTTACCACCCCCATCACTTTTTTCCTTGATGACCTAGAAATTTGAAAATTTGGGCATGTTCCTAAGTGTGACGTAGTAACTTTTTGGTCCCCCCAAAATCTTGAGGGAGAACACTCAGGTGGCCCACTCTAAGGGGGCCAACTTTTTTTTTTCAAATTCTACCCCCCCCCCCTTTGTGACACCTATTCGAAAGACAATTTAAAAAAAAATGGGTGCAAATCGCAGATCAAAATGTTGATTTTTCACAAAAAGGCAACAGGTCAAAGTTCAAAATTACGGAAACCAGGCATTTCTGTTATCACAGCCAGATTGGGCTGAAACTCAACATAGAGCGGTTTTCTGGGACGAGAAAAACGATTCTGACATTAGTTTTCCGGGAATTTTAGTCCTTTTCAAAACGGCGGCGGTCAAAACGACGACCTAGAACGGGAAGTGGGTATTTAGGGTGCTTATCGGTGGATTTGCATAAACCTTGCTAACAGGAGGTTTCTAGGCGGGAGAAAAACGAACCTTTTATTAGATTTTTGAAATTCTGAATAACTTCAAAATGTCGGCGGAAAAAGGGTGGGAACTTGGTATTACGGACGTTTACTGGTGGATTTGCATAAAACTCGATGCCCAGGTAGTTTCTGGCTTGAAAAAAAAAATGACGCATTACACTATTGAAATACTAAATACTTTCAAAATGGCGGCCGAGTTTCATACAAATCAAGCTATAAACGTCCGTCATACCAAATTCATGTCATTTTTCCGCCACCAATTCGAAGGTATTCAGAAATCTAGTGGAAGATTCGTTTTTTTCATGCCAAAATATCCCCAAACACAAATTTGCATACAAATAAATAGCCTAAATATCCACTTCCTGCTGGAGGTTGCCGCTTAGACCGCCGCCATTTTGAAAAGGACTGAAATTCCCGGAAAACTAATGGCAGACTTGTTTTTCTCGTCCCAAAAAACCCAGGGGTTACGAATTTCATCTCAAGCCGTCAATAAAAACAAAGATGCCAAATTTCTGTAATTAAGAACTTGAACCGGTCGCTGTCTTGTTAAAAATCAACACGTTGACCTACGGTTTGCACAATTTTTTTTTTTTTTTTTCTTTTTACTTTACGGTATTAGGCAAGTATTTTACTTTAATGAGTAAAGTACTTGCCTTTTGTATGCTGCATTTGTTTACCAAAGGACACTCTTCAAAATCGGCGTTTTTGGGCCCCCCAGGGAATCGTGCCATATTATGGGGGCTGATAGAGGATCATCTGAAAAGCCGAAACATGGTCAGTTTTCTGCCCTAAGCCCCGGGGAGACGAGGGGGGGGGGGGGGCGGAGTCCAAATTCTTGTATGCCCATAACTTTCAAACGGTACAAGCTATTGCAATTTCCTTTTTTAATTTAGATTTAGCGTTAAAAATACTGTAATTTAAAGAGGTTGAACTTGAAAAAATGTTGATATTTGACCAAGTTATGATGATTTTTCAAAGTAAATACCCCTATTTTTTGGGCCTTTATTTCGTAAATTTGACTCTTGCTTTAAGGCATTGTTGTTAGAACTAAAAAATGTATTTCATTTTAAAACTAGACACTCTAAGCTTTAAAAGAGCCCAAGATCATCCTGGGGAAATGATTCCTGATCGCCCTATAGTCATTCAAAGTTGATGCGACGCACCTCATGGGACTCCTCGCACAGCAAGCGTCCTGCCGACGGACTCTTCCAGCACCATAACTGTGGGCTAGGAGGGGATAGAGGCGTAAAAACACGATAAAGTTACTCATCATAAAGTTATACATTGTATTTTTTTAAATATAAGCCGATTTAAATCATTTATGAAGTAAAATAAATACCACCAAAAAAAGTAACTCACCTGAATTTCACTCATTGTCGTGCCGATCATTTTCTTCATTGTCCTGATCCTGAGCTTCACCTTCGTTATTGCCAATACCCTGGAGCCTTTCATCGTTTTGTGGTAGAGCGTTAGACTCGTTACAAAATTCGGCTGAGTATTTCGGACGGTTTTGTGTCGCCCGTAAAAAAGGTGCCAAATTGATGCCGCAACATGAACACAAGGGTTCACAGTGCTTACGTGCTTTCTTCTTATAAATGCAAACATTTTCTTTAAGGGTATTCGTAGAGTCATCACTGCGATCCCAAAGTAGCAACTCAATACATTTTTATGGAAATGTGCCAAGATAATAATTTGGCCTTTATCAATAATTGATTGCACGCTGAAATTCTTTACTCACGCAACTTATGTAGATAAGAGTCTTCGCTAATTAAAATCTCATTTTTGCCTTCCAGGCAGTGATTGACAATGTATCCTCTCCTCAATTTAATTTAAAATTTCCCGAAAAATACGGTTAACTTTGTAGTTGTCCTGCAGCCTGGTTGTTTAAATTTTTTGTTTGTCGGGACGACATAGATGACATAGGTTAAAAGGCGGAGAGTGATTGGTCGGCTATGTCTTATCGCTGCTTTGTCGTGCCTTTGTCAGATGGAATGGATGACATACTGTCGGAAACTTAAGAGGTGCCGTTAGCTTGTCGTGAGTTCAACCCGACATGAGCACGACGAAGCAGCGATAACACATAGCTGACCATTCACGCTCCGCCTTTTAACCTTTGTCATCTATATCGTCCTGACAAACAAAAAATTTCAACGATCAGGCTGCAGACCGGCAAATCCGTGAAACATGTTGCGGCATCAATTTGGCGTTTTTTTACCGGCAACACGAAAACCGTCTGAAATACTCAGCCGAATTTTGTAATGAGTCTACCGCTCTACTACAAAATGATGAAAGGCTCCAGGGTATCGGCAACAATGAAGGTGAAGCTCAGGATCAGGACAATGAAGAAAATGATCGACATGACAATGAGAGAAATTTGGGTGAGTTAATTCTTTTGGTGGTACTTATTTTACTTCATAAATGATTTAAATCGGCTTATATTTAGAAAAATACAATGTATAATGTAACAATGTGACAAAATCATTGAGCTCGACCCCTTTCTTTACAATTAGGAGGTTGTCATCCATGTACCGTTTATACAACATAATTAAAAAAGGAACAGTGCTGAGAGTATCAAGTTCAAACTGCTCCATGACTAGATTAGCAAGAGTGCAATAAATCGCATCTTGTTCTGACTCATAAATTATAATCCATCAAATCGCCTTAAACTATAATTATAACAAAATCATTGAGTTGAGATTTTCGTTGCACTGAGAAAAAATAATAATTGATGATTGAATTGTTTGTCTTGAAAGTTGTTTTGTACCCATCGATATGCATATTCATATGCAATGCCATGTAGCCAATACTACTATCTGAGATGTAGATATTTTTCACCTACCTAACTCTATTTTTAAGAAGTATTTAAGTTCATCTACTCCAAAGAACCGCCATAGTTTAGGGCCTGCGAAGTCACTTTGGCATGCCACCCTGAAATTTTCAGGGTATCTTCTAGGGTCCCTGGGACAACTTCTTCCAGCAATTAAAATGTCCGTATCCCAGGACAACATATTCAAAATGGCCACCATGTCTAAAATCGAAGAGTCCGGAGATGCTCTCAAAACTTTCCCCCCAAAATAATGGAAATTTCTAAGAATTTTAAAATTAAAAGGGCATCTAGTGCTTCAACTGAGTGCCAAAAAACTTCTTCATACCCTCAACATAATCCGTCAGGTTCAAACCCACTAAGCCCTGCCGATCCCGTAAATTTAGCGACAAATTTATTTTTCGCAATTTCTACTTTGGTGACATTTTCAGCAAAACCCAAGTTCGTCAAGAAACTGTAGCAGCTGGCTTTGACCCATCATTTTACTGTATTATATCAGAAATCGACGATAGTTCTCAAATTTCTTGAAACTCCCCCCAAAAATCCAAGATGGCGGCCAAAATGACCCTTGCTGGATCCCTTGATGACACTTTTAGGGTCGATAAGCTTGTGCTCCCTTATGTGCCTTTCCTATCCAAAAATCTGGCTGGTTTTTTTAAAGTATCTAAGTTTTAAAGGTGTCCATTGCAGGTATCTCTTATGTTTCTTATGTGAAAACTCAAGTCTGACACACCTAAGCTGCAATCTGGGGGTGTGGTATACCAGATTCCATGTGCTAATTGTGATATTTCTTACATCGGCCAAACTAAACAACCTTAAGCTAAATGTTCAAACGAATACAAGTACAAAAGGAGGGAGGTGCCAGCTTTACACAACCATAAGGCTGTGGAATCAATATCTCTAGATATTGGATTACAGCAAAACCGTCTGGCTTATAATAATCTTCCATGCATCAAACCATCTTTCATTATTTACTCCATGAAGTTTGTTGGTGTGATTCAGGGTTTCCTTGTTATCTTTGAAATGTAAACAAATTTGTTAAGATTTGTTAAAATCTATCTCTCATGTAAAAAGCCTTGTAGTGTTGTGACTTACAAGCCGTGCAAATTTCTTCACAACCGGCCGTGAAAACATGCCTAGACATTTGAGAGATAGAGCACTGATCTAAATCTGAAGTATTAGGAGTCATTGTGTGCTATTCGCACCGGCACAGCGGTCTCTGCTTGATTTTTACCCCAAAAATAGGGCTTATAGAGAAATACTAGGGGGCTACGCCCCCTGGCCGCTACGCGGCCCAACCCCCTGAAAGCGCTCCGCGCCATCAATGGGCCGCTTCGCGGCCCTATTGTTACCCTCCTATCGGTGTTAGTTTTATTTTTTCCCCTAAAAAATTACGATATAAGGTATACTTTACTTTTAGAATGAAATAATTTTTGGTTTTGATGAATAAAGAAACAAAATTATTTTTTTGAAGTCTAAAGGACGCGTTTTGGAATGACTACTTGATGAAATATTGCAGTAAAACAACGAACATTGATAATCAGGTAATAATTAAGAGTTTCAGGAGACGGGATCGAACCCACACCATGTTTAAGGGGGACGCTTTCGACGTCTTTGACGACTCGGCCACCGCTCTACCTGAGGCAGACGGGGCGAATCTTGTGTAGATAAGTGTAGAGCTGATGCGCAGGCTACACAGCTACTGCGCAACCTCCTCGACCACTGCGCATCCTCCCGCGCATAGCGGTAGCAGTCTCGGAGCATTCTGAAAATTTACTCACTTTTATAACGTGATTGTAAAAAAACCTGGGTCCTGTTTCCAAAATCTGAATAGAGCGGGCTCATCCAGGGCCAATTACCCGTCGATTACCGCAAAAAACTTAGAAATCGGCCCGGTAGAACGCTCAAACGAACTATGACAAAAAATATAAATTTACATTGTTTAAATGGGAGAATTCGCAACTTTACCACTTAATATAAAAAAACCTGGGCCATATTTTGGAAATCTGAAAAGAGTTGGCTTATCTAGAGACAATTGCCCGTCGATAGCCGCAAAAATCATGAAAATCGGCCCGGTAGAACGCTGGAACTAAGCGTTACCAGTTTCGCAAAATTAGGAGGTCTTGGAGCTTATAGTATAGATGTAGTGATGATGAAGATATTGATTTCACAAGCTGCATTTAAATCCAGGTACTTGGTATTATTATAGGAAAACCTGCAAATAAAAACTTACGAAGTCCTCTTTGTACACTGACATTCTTGCAAGATATCTTCTTGACGTCATACTGATCTGCTCCACAAGTCTGACATAGGTCAGGATCACATTCTCTGACAGCCAAATAGCATGGGCACTGTTTTGTGTTGCACTGTGCTTTGCAGCGGCAACCAGGAAATCTGTTTTGACCTAAAATGAGAAAAAAAAAATTAATCTTGTGTCTTGGTGATGTAAACTTTGCAGATACCTTCCATAAAACTCTACTATGCTTCAATCATTTCTAAGTTCTATACTACAAGTATTCTCTTGAGGTTTTGAGTACATATGCTAATACTACAGGATATGTGCACTTGAAAAAAGAAGGAAGAAGTAGTAGTAATATAAGTTTATTTTAAAGCGGAGCTTCAGCATCTAAGGCCATTAACACCTCTAAAGAAGGTAGTAGTAGTAATAAAGGTTACATCAATAAAAATACAAAAGGGTTGAGGGGGAAGGTAAAATTCTGAGTTTAGTGGAGCGCATAAATTCAAAAAGTTTTACAGGATGAGTATTCAGAAGAAAATTTTTAAGAGAGGGTAAGGGGCAGGGAAAAAAACGTTTTCGGATTTCTTTATAGAGTGGGCAGCTTATAAGAACGTGATCTACTGTTGAGGGGGAATTCGGACAAGAAAAAAGAAGGAAGGAAGAAATAAATAAATAAATAAATAAATAAATAAAACCCTTTATGTTGGGATTATTTTCATGTTCTTGTGTTTGATTTGTGCTCTTTTCTTCTGTTTTCGTAATTTTCTACATAATATTAAAATTCTGTGGCTAAATTTGTGAGCGCTGTAAAACTAAGGATAGTATTAATAATGTAAATATTGTAAACCCTCATGAGTCCTTAAATGATGTAAATGCTATGGATACATCAGCCGAAAACAGAGATCAAGAGATTTTTGTAGTTAAGTATGATTCCTAACTTTTGGTTGAGGCTAAAAATTACATTAATAAAACCTGATCAATTAATATTCTAGTTCACCACATAGACTTTCGCTACGAGGAGGACCTGGAAAATATTTTTAAAATTAAAGGGATACGTTCTATGATTGTTAAGATAGAAGCAATCAAAGTTGAATCTGAGAAAGCTACTCAGTGTAAAAAGTTATTGCCACAGTTTTCATTTTAGCAGAAAGCAGGCCGGATGCTGCAAAAGTGCGCCTAAGCATCTGACGAGTGTATGTCCTTTAGGAAAGAGGGTTATCAATATCCCAGGTTTGTAGTAAACTATGGGGCATGGGGTCATCCAGCTAGCTACAGAGGCTGCCCTTTTGCTTCAGAAATGCAGTAGGAACGAGAAACTACGATCGGTTAAAAAAATAAGAAGGAAAACTTGGAAAAAAAAACGAAATCTTTCCCGGTTTGCCGAGGAAAAGCAAGCATAATGAATTAAAGTTCTAATAAAGCTGGTGTAACAATTAATTTTAATAGTTGAGTCACTCCATAGACAGATTGACGAGGAGAATAAGAAAAAAGAATGTTATTATTAAAAATTCATCATGAGTTCTTCTTAGCTCTGCAACGATTTCTGTCATATACATGACCTCATCACGAGAATCAATGATAAACATAAATGCGTGGAATGCAAATGGACTTTCTTCAACCAAACTCTTAGATTTTGGTAGTACAATGGTCAGTTTGCAGACGGATATTCTCACTTCACAAAATAAAAAAAAGGCTTTTTCAAAGGGTTCAAAATTTACAATGCTCATCACTCTGCCAGGAAAGGTGGGGAGGGGGAGCCGCTGTGGCTAAACGACAAAATGTCAAGCATTCGATATTCAAATAGATTGAGGAGGAAAGGTTTCGAGCAGTCATAATCCAGCTTGAGTCATCTTTAGGCTCATTTAACATCGCAGCAGTGTATGCACTGTCAAGACACAGCTGTTCAGAAACTAACTAAAGTAAATTACTTGAAAAGCTTAACCACTTCTTAAGTGGAGGAGCCTGGAACACTGAGAATGTTTGTGGGGCATCCAGAAAAACAAACACCTCGGAACTCAAAACGGAACCTCGAATTCACGGTCAATTTTATCGGCGGAGACTTCATAACTTCAGAGAAGCCAACACTTTTTCCACATAATCTTACGAAAGAACCTGACACTTTCGACTCCTTCATCTTCAATAACCTCTCCTTTAAACAACGAGACCGTGTGCTATACGCTTAACATCAAAAAAGATCATAATCTTGGAACTCTCAATTTGCGCCGCGCCTACGCTAGTAAACATCACTAATCTCCTCTAAAACTGACTGAAAAAAATTCCAAAACCACATAACAACTCATACTAATAACTCGGTTATACAAGTAAAAGTAATTCTTGAGGCAGCCAAATTAAACACGCCGGTGGCCACTGTAAATTAATGAAATTATAAATAAATAAATGAATAGAAGAAGAGGGTGCTAGAAACATAATAGCATGCAATGGGGTAGTTGTACGATTTTTTCCAAATTGTTAAAGTATTTTCTTAAAAATTTTCGGATAACAGGAACATCGAGAAAAAACCTCGAAAGTTCAGATGTGCTTTAAAACGGGGTTCTTCTCCAAGCCTGAAAGTCACAAGACTCTGACGTCACGACGCACAGCCACAGGTTTTTGCTACCTAAACTCCGTGCTGATGTCAGCTAATAAAAAAATTGGAAAAACTCGCGTTGTCTGACTGGACCCACTTTTCTTATATTGATGGCTACCTGAAGAGAAGGTGAATCATTTTCAGGCTTAGTTTTTGGCTCTCCACAACAATTTCTGAGACGATGAGTTAAAACCGTTCCTTTCCCGTGTTCTAAATGGAGCAAGGAGGCCGATGGGTGGTGAGCAGAGAGAGATGCGTAGCTGCCAGCCTTGCTGTGGCTCATTCCACAGCAAGCGCTAATCATCATAATCACTCAGGGCTCAAGATGAGCTTAGAGTAGCCTAACCTTCAAAGGATAAACACTAGGTCAAGATATGGGTGATAGCGGATAGGAAAGACTGCCACACGACGTGACGTGTACTTTGACAAACTGTAGCAGCCAATAGAATTGGTTTTATTCCAACTTGCATTTGATGGAACATTAGCGACCTTTTTCAGACTTCAGGACTTGATTTTGGATTTTTTAAATGTTACCACCGTTTTTCTTGCGAAAAGGTCTATGGCAACAAATTTATTATTCACAACTCCCTCCCCCGTTTGACAACCCCATTCAGCCAATTTAGGTTTTTGTTTTCTTTTTTCTAAGAAAACTTACCACCTAACTAAAGGAGCGACACATTTTAAACCACTGAGGCTAAGAGCTCATACAGTGTTTTCAAGTAGTACAGCGTATGGGCCTAGTTTATCATCTTATCCACTTGCGGTAGGAGACTCGTTGATAAGAAAGGCGATCCTCACACTTACTAGATACTTTTTTGAAGACTCATGAAAAAATTAATGAAAATATTATGAATGCTGCTTACAATCTGAGCTGCATTTACAAAATTTTTCACAGAAATTCTGAGCAGCCACACATTGACAATTATGGTCACACTGTTGGGTGGGTGGATGACGACATGGGGTGAAATTATGAACATGATTAGAGCTTGAATCTTTTTTCAGCTGAATTTTCCTGCAATGCATGGACCACAACCGATGCTTCTTCTTCTTTTTCCTTGGAGGTGTTAAGTCTTTGAGGGCTTCTTCTGCAGAGATATCTGCAGCTTCTTTCGATGCAAACTGATACACCTAAAATCAACAAAAGAAGAGATAAGTCAATGGAAAAACAGGCTTTCATTCAGAAACCTTTGAAACCAGCAAAAAACCGATTTTATTTAACAGGAGAATTAATGTAACCTTGGCGTCCTTTCTCCAATTTCTGCCTGTCAACAAATTTTTTTTTTTGTTTCTCCTTTTTAAGTGACGGTAGGAAACTGGGAAAAAATCATCGGACTCTTAACTGGTCATAGGCTAATTTTTTCACAAGGGAGAAGTTAGAAATGTAACCTCTAAGACGTATAACATGGGGTCCTTTTTTTTAACTTTCTAATCGATTAAAATGCATTCACCATCACATGAAACTTTTCGGAGACAATGTTTTAACTTAGTTATATCCTCAACTTTCAGAAAATGACAATTATAAGTGCATTCCTTTCAGTAGACTTGCGCTAGTTGAGCTGGCAGACGTGTAACCGTGTTTCACGTAATTCTGGTGACGCTCCGCTTTTCGCTTTCTCTGTATCAAGCAGGTACCACTCATGGGTTTTTTTGGCTTTACGTCTATAGAGTGAATTTTAATAAACAAAACGCAGCTCAATTTAATTGGATTCATGTTCTATTACTTGCTAGAATTAAATTTGTAGGCTGAAAAATCGAGCGTCACACTTATCCAGTGTAATTCTGGTGACGGCTCTCAATCTGCCTAATTTCATTTTATTATCAGAATATCTTTTATTTCTAGTAGATCCGCGAGGTATGAAAACATAACCTCTCTTACTTTGCTCTTGGTACCATTTGCATTCGCATGAGAAATATATTAATGCGAAAAAGTAACTTCTGGTGATGTCACCCGGGACTACAAGCGTCACCAAAATGACAATAATGTGTGGGACCATATCTTTTGAGAGGAGGTCTGCAAATTCATTACAGGTGCGGTACAAGCTATGGTTGCGATATTTAGTGCTGAAATAACTATGTAAAACTCCAACTGTTCGATAAAACTTTAAATCATAATTCGGGGTATTCTCAAAATCCCGCTCCCCCCTCTTAATTTTTTGAACCGTTCGGAATACAAAAACAACTTCAAAAAATCATAACTCCTGCTGAAATTATCGTAGAAAAAATATAAAGCAGGGAAATTTACCAGATTACAAGCACTTTAAAGTGAAAGTCGTAGGAATCCCTTCAAACTAATTTGAGGGAGGGGGGCCATAGGGTGTACCTTATTTTTGAGTTTAGCGAAAATCAAGTTGGTCAACCCCTATAAAGTTTCTATGTAGTCTCTAAATGAACCCCCTAAAAGGAAAAAAATTTAAAAAAATTTTCACCCGTGCCTCAAACGCCTAGATCCAAAATTCAAAAATTTTGACAAGCGACATATCAATTCTGAAGGAAAGTTGCAAGTTACGGCCTTTTGGCCGGAGATTTCGTCCGTTTTGGCGTGCCTTGAAGCGTAAGGTCACAAACGGCCCAATGACGACGTGAGGTAGTGGGCCGGCCGGCCGCTGAGCGCGCCCGCAGGGCAGCGTTGCGCATCGCCGCTTTACACCGGCGTAGAGCAACGAACGGTGGGGTGGGAGGGGGATATCCGGTGGAAAAGCATCCACATTTTCTATCCATAATAAAAATGCATTATACTTTTTCAATATAGATGAGGAAATATGAGCCATACAAGACAGTGATGAAAAGAGTGACGAATACATATGTAGTTTGTACGATTAGGAGCGTAAGTGGGGAAAATTTGCCGTAACTACAGAACAGCCCTGAAAATCTCCGGAAAATAAAAGCTGCTATTGTGAACATACCTGTTGATCACCAGAACAGAAAATTCTCACACACCAGAGGTGCCGGAAACCACTGGTATTTGACTAATTAAAAAGATATGTGCGATGTTGTCGAATAGTAAGCCCTTTACGCGATCAAATGCGTTCAGTGTAATGGAAAAGTTGAAGAAAAATTTGATGAAAGAAAATTGCCTTAAATTC